TACTGTCCTGCACACTGTCCTCATCCTGCCATCTCCCCGCTGCCTGCTTACTGTCCTGCACACTGTCCTCATCCTGCCATCTCCCCGCTGCCTGCACACTGTCCTGCACACTGTCCTGATCCTGCCATCTCCCTGCTGCCTGCACACTGTCCTGCACACTGTCCTCATCCTGCCATTTTCCTGCTGCCTGCACACTGTCCTCATCCTGCCATCTCCCTGCTGCCTGCTCCTGTGTGCCTCCTGCCTTCTGCTGACTTTCCTTCATACACATTAGGTTTGCAAAACTGCGCCTATACTTTTAGTGTAATGTTCTGTAGCTCTTAACACTAATATTTCCTACTTACTTTTTTTGTGGTAAAAGAAGAGTGTCTGATGTCTCCATCTTTCCTTTTCCTCATAGTGTGTCTGTGAATAAAATCTAATCTATATTTAACAAAACAGTATCTGAAAACTATCAGATGAAGCTTCTAAAAATGTCTATAAATATGAAGTTGTGGAATGCAGACTCAATACCACTAAAATTCAAATAATAGGGCTTATTATTTGTTAGCTAGTTTTTTTTACGTTGCCCCTATAGGTTTCACTTATAGTAATGTTTTTTCAGAGCATAACGTTAGACGTTCTTATGCGTTAACATTAGCCTAACAAACCACAATGGCTAAGTGGCGAATTAATTTCGGAATGGCACAATTTATTCGTGATAAAATGAGAATGAAAACATAGGGAGTTCATCTCCTTGGAAAATGATCGATTTTACCTGGGTCTTGATCGGGGGGTACAGTACCCCCTGTAATTCGAACCATGACTACAACCGTGGTTCTTGTTCCTGAAAATAGTTTCTGCAGTGTGAAAGTGCCTCTGGTGTAGCTAAAACTAGGAGAAAAATGCATGCATTCATAAATAAAATGGTAAATTGTTGTGTCTTCCGTGGGGATATAAGCAACGATACTGAGGTTCTATTTTATTTGTTCACATTATTGTTGTTTATAATAGTTTATGGGTATTGTCTTAACCTTTCACATGGTACATAAGAACACATGGTAAAATTGAGGAATCTAGCAAGCTGGGTGGTGATAGAACAGCTGAAACCCAATTCGCTGACTATCAAGAATTGAGTATTTAAAGGTATAGCGCTTCCTCCTTGAAATTACTTAGTCAAGCTGACGCTGTATTTTGAAATTCTGAGAATGAGCTGAATCGGTAAAATCTGTCATGCAGCATAATCAGTGTTTTGTGGAAATTAAATATTTCTTTTACTCACTCTGCAGTATCATGTTAAACATAGGACATTATAGTAGGGCTGTTGCAGTGAAGGAATTTCCCTGTGGTGATTTAGGATGGCTCACCAACAATGACATTTCAAAAAACAAGCTCAATTGTTCAAACATAGAAAAAATTACCCCTGTTTGTTCAGTGACATCACAGGTGTTTACTTGTTTTGTTTTTTGTTTGGCACAAATTTGCAAATTGAGTCAAAAAATTTAAGGTGCAATCCACTTCTATTCAGTGCACTAACTGCCATATTGCATATGGCATTCCATAAGTAAACATTTATTGAACAGTTTAAAATATAAAATGTGAACCTAAATGGCACATAATGAGCAGTTCAAAATGCTGTCAGGAGAAATCCTTGCCTGTTCAGGTGGACGTGGTTGGTCCATCCCCCTAAAGTTGTCCATAAGTGGTTTACTGAAAAAAGCAAAAATTTAATAAAGTTTATATACACTCACCTAAAGGATTATTAGGAACACCTGTTCAGTTTCTCATTAATGCAATTATCTAATCAACCAATCACATGGCAGTTGCTTAAATGCATTTAGGGGTGTGGTCCTGGTCAAGACAATCTCCTGAACTCCAAACTGAATGTCAGAATGGGAAAGAAAGGTGATTTAAGCAATTTTGAGCG